GAAAACCAACTTTAATTTTGACCAATCAAACCTAATTATATCAAAATTAATCATAATTATATCTATAATTTTAAATTTGACACTTTTAAGATAATTATGTCCCTCTCTGTATCAGTTAAGTGAAAAATCGGGACTTCTAAAAATAGAATTCTTTAGACAACGGAATACGGACTTTAATATGCGATCAACAAGCATTATAATTTAATCTAGCCAGATCGCCATTCCGTATGTGAAGAAGTCTATTTTTAGAAGTCCCGGTTTTACTTAGCGGCATAACCATATTTTAATACATACTATTTTCGCGAAATAACGTTCAGAGGTGTAATTTCGAATTTTCGCCTAAATTAAGCTTAATTCGGGCCATTATTCGAATAACGCACATGCGCGTTATTTCGCGAAAATAAAGTAGTAAATGGGATTTCAGTAACATATAGACTTATTATTATCGTTATATATTGCCTTTTACATATAATCACCAGTGAAAACAAAAGACCTGGTGACTATAATGAGTTATACTTAACATAGTAAACATGACATATTTGTTGGAGAATAAAGATTTTTTAGGTTAATTAAATTGTCAATTAAGGATAGTCTGTTAAATACGCAAAACTTTTACTATAGCATTTCGATTCGTTATTTTATCATTATAAAAAGTTAAATACAATATGTTATTAACATACTGCGAATGCAAAATGACTACAAAATGTACGTTGAACAATGTACTTGTTCAAATAAATTTTTTATTTTGTAATAATTTGGCAATTATTTTTATTCAGTCATTGAATTGTTAGATATTTGAACTTTATACTTTTTACAACGCTATAATATTTAGTATTAAAAGTTTGCAGTTTAAACTAAAATATATATAAATTTCAATGGATTAGGTTATTTTACATTAACGGCTAAGTATAAGAATTAAATGAATTGTTTAAAGAATCTATTCTATGCTACATATTAATTTTCTTTAAACCAATCAAAGAAGTTTTAAAGCTAATAAATCTAAATCCTTGAAATAACATGTTTAAAGAATCTATTCTATACTACACATTAATATTCTTTAAACGAATTAAAGAAGTTTTAAAGCTAATAAATCTAAATCCTTGAAATAACAATCATCAACTAAAGAAAAGGACTATTACAAATAATGTGACAAAGATATAGTTTATAAAAATAACAAATTTATTGAAAGTTATAAACAGATAATGAAAATTCGATACATACTTGAAAAATAAAAGCACAAAGATATTTCCAATTCATGTTCACCATTCTCAATACCATACAGTTGTTAAAAAAAAAAAAGAAAGTGTATCAACACTTTTAAGAACAACAACCATCCTTCAATAATCAACTAAAATTTCATATTTTCCAATTCAACCGATTTCATCAATATTATCAGGACCAAGAAATTTTGATTCATTCAAAACAGTTTGTTTGTCCAGACATTCGCTATTTATACTCATATCCACAAAATACCTGTGAGGATGATAAATAGTATTCTTTTGTAAAGACCAAGTAAAATTTGGAATTACCTTGGTCAAATAACAACCAATCTCATCACCAAAAATATCCAGTATCGCATAACCATTTTCAGCAAATGGTTTAACAATGTTTAAAATACAAGCGGCATCCGGATTTACAGAAAATTTTGATTTATTACGTTGTGGAAAAACGATTTCAACGTAAATATCAAAATTATCACGAGCAGTAAGCATTGCGGATTTTAGCATTAGAATGAATGAATCAAGAGTTGAAGAAGGAGGATATTGGATTTTTGGTTTTGGAGGAATAGAGTAGGGGATTTGAAAATAATCCATTTCAGCTAGGATTTCTTGATAGAAAACAGCATCAGGGCATTGACAATGACATCGTAATTGAGGTAATAAATCTTGCGAAGGAGATTTATCGAGAAGATTAGATTGAAGATTAGAAGAACGAATATTTTCTAGAAAAAAAAGTTTTCCAGTACGATAATATTCCAATATATAATGAAAAGCACGACCATTTCTATCAAAGAAATATTCGCATGAACCATTGTCGGTATGTAAAGGGTGAAGCAAGACGTTATTACGTTTTTGAAACATTGTGCCCAATAGCGTATCGGGATAAGCAGTTAAAGTGGATCTAAAAGTTTCATACTATCCCAAAAATAAAGAAATTTAAAAATCTTTAATAACGGGAAATATTTAATATGTAGATATATAGGTATTAAAAAATAGATCACCTTAATTCCACCAACATTTAATATTAATCTTTCATCATTATTAGGATCATCTTTTAAGTCGTTCGCGGACTGTTTCAAAACCATCATATCTAGATCAGGTATGTTGTGAGACGTCATACGTACCCTTCTTTTTTGTCATAGAGGGCAAAAAAAAAAAAAAGGATCAGAGAATAAAAGTGTTTAAAGAAGACGGGAGGTTGTACTAAAAAATAGAATTGGTAAGCCACTATTTATAGTGCATAACAATAAATAGTATTATCATGTGATTAATTAATTAATTATCTGAAACAATGTTTGATATATGATTGATGAACATTTATGTACGTACGTACGTATCGGCGTGTCATCCAGACATAACGATAGATAGCGCAAATTTTTATGTATACGTACTCTTTTAAGATTATCCACAAATTAAATTCGTATCCGAATAGGCAAGGGGCAGAGTTTGTATTAAAACAGGGACATGAATATCAGGAACACAGAAATAATATCTAAACATAATTTAGTAACCCATAACGGTTTAAATAAATTATTAGCAGTTCACCAATCTAGATCTAGAGATTATAACCGTCAAGAAACTTTCTACGTACGTATGTACCCAAATATTATTAACTTAACTGGTTGTCCCGGGTAATTCATTATGACAATCTAATATAAATGTCTACACGGGTATTATTTAATTACCCGATTATACGGGTTGCGGGTAATTTTATTATAGATATGAGTGCTGTCAAGGGAAAACCTGTCATCGGGCTTTCAATTATATTTTGTATCGGACTTTGATTTATTATTGATTGTGCCAAGTACACGATAAAATTGAAAGTCCGATGATAGGTTCAATCTATCTAGAAACCTATCGAATTATAAGAACTTTAAATATTGTGTTCGCATGTAATACCGGAAAAAAAACATGATAATATTATTCGACTTTAGACCTTAAACCTTAATTGACATAACAAACATGAAATGTACGTCGCGTGTTTTGAAGGATATGAAAATCTCGTGAAAAATAAACATCCCTGTTGATTATGACTATGCTATAAACAATGTGGCATTTAATACTATGTAACAGTAACAGTCAAATATTTTTTAAATATAGTTATATAAATCTTTATTTTGTGGCCGAAGTATCAGTATGAAGGATAAAAACTTAACATTCATTGCGTATATAAACTCGGGGCGTCGCAGTCAGTACGTATGAAATGAATTTTTGGACCTTTCTAGACAATTAATACTAATAAAGAATGCAGGTAACTCAGCATACGTCAGTGATGAATGACCAATGTTACCAATGTTACACAATATCGATTATTATTATTAAATAAACTCTAACGCTAATGCACTAACTTACAAAAGTATTAAGTCAGTTAATCAAGTCGATATTTACTTTGTATAAAATTCTTTGTCGGTCTAATCATTCCTGTACATAATAACACTACCTACATAAATGTATTAGAACACTATCAATGGGAGTTAGTTTACAAAATTGGTTGATTTTTATTGATGATAAAAATCAAGTGATTAAGATTAGTGATTAATGATTAAGTGATTAATGATTAATATATTTGACTTATATAACTCTGAAAGTAAATTTTCATTTGTTGATTTGATGCATGCAATATAATATGTAATATAATATGTAATATAATATGTAATATATATATAATATTTATATAATGTATGCTATTTGATGTAATATTTGATTATAAATTCACTATTCTTAATGTATCTTTGCGGAGTTTTTTCTGACAAATATGATATATGGATGACGTACCTATCTATCTACGTATCCGTGGTTGGATTAACACTGTGTATTTGAGTTAATTAATGAAATATTTTAACCCCCTTGATTGTTTTATTTTTTCACATGTGAAATTCTCCTTAAAAATCTGAAAATGGAGCTTTAGAAAACCTTGACCAATCAACTTAAATAAAACAATGTCTGAAGCCCATAGAAGTTTTTTTTTGAGCTAGTTGAGATA